TTAGTCTGCTGAACGCGCCCATTCTGCATCCGTATTACCGGAATTAAGTTGGCGCTGGAAGTTTATATTTTTTAGAGTTCCTATAATAAGAGTTAGGACAAACCGCCGCCATGTACATACAGCCAAATGTTATAGCTTTGTTTCACTCCTACTTACAGCTTGTCTCACTCTCACTAACTTGGCTGAAACATATGACGGGACCAATCAAAAATCGTCACCACATTGGCTTAACTCTTATTATAGAAACTCTAATATTTTTTAATGAACTATAGCTCAAACGATTGCTCCCTAATTGCTCCCTCAGAATCAACAATTGCTCCCCTTTTAAAATTATTATTTTTTGAGATATTTAATAAAAACGAAAAATTTCTAATTTTTATTGAAAAACATATTTATAATGACTCTATGCAACTAAATCCGGCATAGAACGATTGCTCCTTCATTGCTCCTTATTGCTCCATCATAATTTTAATGATTTATTGCATTTTTATTGAAAAATTAACAAATTAATCATTTCACAAGTAACGCCGCCGCCGCCACTATCGGCCGCCTATTGTAACTATAGTTACGCACAAAAATCTAGGGTAGCAAATGCGATTTTATATCAAAAACATCAAAAAATTAAAAATATTACTTATTTGGGCACGTACACAACTGTCACCTGACGACAATATTTGCTTAAAACAAAAATTCTGCAGTTTATACATACATAATGTTTATCATCTGCCCTTGGAAAAACATGTAGGAATATAATAATACCGTGCAAGTAGAAATAAGATTCAATGCGTACAAAAAAGATCCATCGAAAAATTATTTTAGTAATGCAAATACGGATGCAAAATGACAAGAAGAACAGCAACAGTAGTTGCTGGATCTTGCGAGAGATGGCGAGCAATCGAAAAAAGGACAGATGTCATTTCGTTAGACAAAGACAGATATAGGAAAAACAAAATTAGAAAGGTTGACATTATCGACATCGAGGAAGTTCGTCTATCACTGCAGGATCCCCTTGTGTAAAGGTGAGGCAGTGAAAAGCAGCAGCAGATCGTACTGATTGGCTACAAAAAGAAGTTCTCGAGTTTCTAGAACTTCTCTATTTTGTAGCCAATCAGTACGATCTGCTGCTGCTTTTCAATGCCCATAAAATTTCATCTTAATTGATTGGATCCAAAGGTAAGAACCAATCACATTCAGTTGCTACCTTTTGCTTCGCTAAGCAAAGGTTCGGCTGGACACGGCCATTTCTGACGTTATATTTGTATATCCAATATGCCGAACACATCTTTGGTCTGTTCTTTTTCGCTGCACTTCTGCACTAGTGCAATAAGTTAAGATAAAATAAATTTTCTTTCATTCTAAACTTATTGCACTAATTCAGAAGTGCAGCGAAAAAGAACAGACCATAACGCTGTCGCGAGATGCGATAGCGTCGCTACTGTTTCCAATCTATGTTGTATTTTGTATTGGTCGTAGGATTGTTTGCGATTCACTGCGAATGTATTTTTGCGGGAGGTTAAATATTATATACCAATGTACATATAACGAGATTTTACAGGCGTTACAGGTGATTTTCACTATCAAGCTACGTTCGAGGAGTACATGATATTAATTGCAAGATCGTGGATCTTGATCATACGATTGAGTTTCGAAAATGAGGATCGCCGTAGAGGGTTGCGCTCATGGCGAATTGGACATTATTTATGAGACTATTCAGGAAATCGAGAAGGTCGATGGGAGGAAGGTAGATCTGCTTATTTGCTGCGGCGATTTTCAAGCTACCAGAAACTTAAGTGACCTAAAATGTATGGCAGTATCGGATAAGTACAAGGATATGCGTACATTTTACAAGTGAGTACTGTTGTCTCGGCAAAAAGTTGTTAAAAATGTTGAATATATAGCTCTTACGTTGCATATAGCATTTACCCAGTAAGCAAGTTGATAGTATAGACGATGGCTAGCAATTTGTCAGCAATTTTGAACAAAAATATTCCTTCAGATGGGTATAAACTGCATCTGCATTAAGTTCATATTCAGAATTTGCTAAAATAATATTGCCAATAGAAATTAAGCAGAATCAGCCATTATTTCAATGAAATGTATTATTTAAATGGTTACGAAATGGCAGATTCTATTCGGTATCTGTAGTCAATCTCTGTATCTGTTAGCAGAGTGTTATATTTTTCTTGGCATTCTGCTGATAAAGTTTGTAACAGACACTTTACAAAATTTATTTCTGTGGTAGATTTATAATTTGGCTGTTTGAATAGATGTGTTATTTATGTAATAAGAGAGCAATATATTTTTAATGCCGATTGATATGTTGTAGATATTATTCTGGCGAAAAAGAAGCTCCTGTGTTAACTATCTTCATCGGAGGCAATCACGAAGCGTCGAATTATCTGCAGGAACTTCCATATGGAGGATGGGTCGCACCTAACATTTATTATCTCGGATACGCAGGTGTGGTACAGGTGGCTGGAATTAGAATTGCAGGACTTTCGGGCATATACAAGAGTCAGCATTGGATGCAGGGACGTTATGAGAAGCCTCCCTATACTGATAGTACTATACGAAGTGTCTATCATATTAGGAATCTAGAAGTGTTCAGATTAAAACAGGTATTATTGGCTACCATACATATAAATTGATGGAATGTTTCCATATTTTTACAACTGATAATACAATTTCAGATAAAATAGTAAATGTTTTAGACAGTTGAGAAATATAGTTTTTTTATTTTTAGCTTTCCGGTAAAATTGATATATTTTTATCACACGACTGGCCGACAGGGGTAACAAAATATGGAGATGTAGACACGTTGCTGAAGCAAAAACCATTTTTTAAGTAAGTTGTCGATGACTAGACTTAATGAACGTTTAATGCAAAAGTCTATTACGTTAAAATGATATTTTAACGGTATATTAAGATTCGATATTAAACCGTTACGTTACAATTTGGCGTTTTAGGGATGACATAAAAAGTAATACGCTTGGCAGTCCTCCGTGTATGGAACTGTTAGAACGTTTGTATCCGTCCTACTGGTTTTCCGCGCATTTGCATTGCAAGTTCGCGGCGCTCATTCCCGAGAAGGGAGGTGCACGAGTGACGAAGTTTTTAGCGCTGGATAAATGCCTGCCGAAACGGAAATTCCTTCAGGTGCTGGAGGTGCGTTCGCAGGAAGACGGTCCGATACAATTGAACTACGATCTAGAATGGTTAACGATACTCTACTTGACGAATCATCTGTTGAGCGTCAAGAGCAGTATCCATTACATGCCCGGTCAATACGGCGCTGGCAGATGGACGTACACACCTACGGCGAAGGAGAAACAGACTGTGTACGAGAAATTCGGTTCCAATTTGCAGATTCCTCTCAATTTCACCCGAACGGTTAAACCGTACGATCCGTGTGACACGAATACTCGGATCGAGCGGCCGCGATTGCTGATAAACGATCAGACTACTCGATTCTGTGAGATGTTGGGCATCGACGATCCTTCCACCCTACTGCAGATTATCACGAACACTTCGAAAGATAACAGTATATCGGACGAAAAGTGGGTGGATACATCCATCGAATGTATATCAGAATATAATGTCAGAAATGTGTCGGACTCCATGGAGATCTCGTTTGAGGAAGAAAGCGTGTTTAACTCCACCTTCGAGGAAAATTCGTCAAATAAGTATTTTATCGACAGCTCGCCGACGAACTTGTCCTCTACGACGAACTTGTCTCTTGCAACGAACTTGTCCCCTAAGAGCAATGGCGATGATTCGAATAACGGGAACACGAGTCAAAGCACCTTGGATGGAACTCTTAATAACTCGACCACGTTTACAGACTCTACTTCGATGGAGGACAGTAAGTAGCGTTATTACAAAATAGCGAGTAATTTAATTAAACGCTGAATAGAATAATGAACTGTTAACGAGACATTTTGTGATGATTAACGATAATACGTGTGTTGCAGGTAGCGAACAAACCGGCTGTATCCAAACCGAGCCGAACCGCAAAAAGTTTAAACGCCGGAATTATTCTATGTATTCTAGCACGTTTTAACTGTGATAGTGTTTACCCTATTAGGTATTTGGGTCTGTATTTATGTTGTTTCCATATGGAATCTTTCTGTATTATACCTACTTTGTAAATAGCAAGAGTTTTATATAATCAATTATATATATATCTTAAAAGTTTCCAAAATAATCCTTTAATTTATCATACTTATGCATTCCTACCGATCACAAATACAGAGCACCTTTGCTTTCCTACGAATATTGCATTAAATTTATCAGTTTATAATCGCGCTTCGAAACTTTCGTTCGCAATTCCGTGATAGATATGCGACAGTTATGTAATTGGTTTTTCGGCACTATTTTTTTGTAACTTTTTAAACAACGTTTCAATGTACGCATTTCCATCTTTATTCAGAATTTCAAAACAATACTAAGAGTTCTAACAGCACTTTCCATAGTTCTAAACCTTAAAGAGTTCCGCATTCCTTTAGAGGGAAGGAATGTGTCTTTTGTCGTGCTAGATTCGCAAAGTTAACACATTTTTTCAATTTTTATTTTTAATATAAGGAATGCGGAATTTTTTTTAATGTTTATCAGAAACTGTAGAATTGTGGAAATTGTTATTATTAGAACTCTTAGTATTTTTTGAAATGTGTAGAATGTCGTGCCAATTTCACAGCAGTTATATAATACGTTGAATAAAATATATAATATATATATACACATATATACATATATTATATGTAAATTCAACGTTATAACGTCGCAAAGAGCTCGAGAACATTGGCGTGTACGGAATTAAATTCAAAAACGCAATCGATCTTCAAACGATACGAAGAATCGAGTTCTCGACTCTGACTAATCGATTGAACGTCACCCGTCCCTGCCTCCAGCGCAATCGTCTCGAAGAGGGAGCACGCTGGATGCTCCGACTCCGATTGTTGACTTGTTTACTTCTGATTTATGCGTGTTTGACGTTTGACTGTCAGTGAAGGATGGCACTCGTGCGTCCGCGGACGACGATTCCGGGATCACCGGAGGATACCCGCGTCGCACGGACAAATTGACAGCGTAGTGTCACGACGCGTAAATATGGTGGTAGTAGATAGCTGTGCTCCGAACGACGTGCCAAATCTCCGTCACCTCAATCTCCACTGTCGACTATCCTGAGCGCGGAAAATGGACAAGCTGACTATTATCTCGGGGATACTGTTCCTGCTCGCGGATATCTCCGCCATAATCAGCATCGCCATGCCGGACTGGATCATTACCGACATCGGCGGTAATTGCAATCTATTTTTTTCCCCTTACTTCCTTCACTCACCGTGGCCTTGCACGTTTTTTTCTTTATGCCGGCGAGATGAAGATTAAGTTAATTTGAATCGATTTTTGAAAAAGTTGCGAATTGCGAAAAACCGCTCGAGCACTCGAAAACACTTGTTTTAATCCTACGTTTCTCTCTATTTTTTCTCCTCTCTAATAGGCGACACGAGACTGGGTCTCATGTGGTCATGCATGACCTTGTACAACAGACCGCAGGTTTGTTTCAAATCGCAGCTGGAGTCGGAATGGATGATGGCACTAGTCTGCATATTTATTGGCTGCATTCTGATAACGGCGACTATAATATTACTGGTAATTTCGCACTGGGACCGTACCGTCATTCCCTTCGCCCGCTGGGTAGGATTCGGCGCCAGTACGTATCACAAGAATATACTATATTTAGCATTAAAAAATGCAAGTAATACATGTATGAAGCAATGTAGTATTTATGTAATACAAAATTACAAGACAACTATATTATAAAACGTCACTTTCTAACATTGATGTTACATTTAAAACAAATTTGAATGACCAACAACCAATGCGCAAAACTTACATGTCATTACTATTATTACGTTGTACATTAATCAATGTAATTAATTGCAGTGGTGCTATTTTGTCACGCGGCAGTCATATTTCCAATGGGATTCCACATTGACGAGATTGGTGGGCAACCGTATCAGTTGCCTAACTCGCACCAAGTTGGGATCGCTTACATCTTGTTTGTCCTAGCTCTATGGATCACAGTAATCTCTGAACTCTTTGCAGGCAAAGTTTGTCTACCACATTTTTAGCATTCCGCCGTAGCATTCATATTTCTTAATTACGCTCTATTGACAGTCTTTTTTATATCAGTTAGTTTTGTCACCGACAAGTTTCTGTTCAGGACCTGTCGGTCTTCAACAATATCCCGTCGGTGGTATTGTTTATACGATATAAAATTATTTTGATCTTGCAATAACAATTTTATAAAACTTTAATAGGGATTGCACTAAATTCTGCTTTATATTGAGCAGATTAAGATAGAATAAGGATCAGTTATAGCCATTAGTTTCTAATATTTAATAAATCTTCTATAAAATGATAGCTGTACAGATAAAAAGAATCAATTAAGTTATTATAATATAATATTAATACCTGTCCTTAACTAAAGGATGTGTGAATAGTCTATGAGCGATGTGTATTGAAATTTGACAGTCTAGAATTTTCTCTAACGATATATACAATAACATGTTAGTAGATAAGATCGTAAGAAGTTAACTTTCAAATAAACACACGGGGGAAAACGAATGAAACTCGATACATATTTGAAATATATATATATATGTATATATGCATGTATATTTCTTAATCATAATTAAATTTTAACATATGTACAGTTTTACTTTTTGTTATAAACTTCAAATATTTATTTACAAAACCGGAAATAAATGAGAGGTATTATGTTTAATGCGTAAGTTACAATTAGATCGAAAACTTAGGATATTTCTTACTTCTTATCTATATTATACAAACATACATACTAGATATAATAGATGTAATAGATATAATAGATGTGTGTACGTAAGAAAACTAAAACCTGTATATTTCTGATTTTTCGAAATGTTATTTAACAATAAAACTTGTGCCGCAAATAAATGGCATTTTATTTGCGTACGAGGCAAACAGTTAATCAGACTATAAAGTAACAAAATACCACATAACACAATTTAAACGCAATTGATAAACAAACCTTATGAACACTTCAGTTTTAAAAATTATGTGACATTATTGCATATCTAGGAAAGATTAAATACAAAATGTTCAATAATTGTACAAACAATCTTCCTGATAAGTCTTTCAGTTCTTTACCTTGCCAGTTCTTCTCAATTGTTAAAATAATTTAAATGTTTCATGAGAAAGAAATCTATGGAGATTTTGTCCGGTAGAATTCGTGCGTATGATCTGTTCCTACATGATTTGAAAACATATGTGTGTATATATATATATATATAAACATATGTATAAGCATATATGTATATATATATTTATATGAAACATATATACATTCATAAATATTAAACATACATGTTTTTAAATATAAAAAGTACAACATTGAAGACCGACTGGCAAGTTGGAATTGATTTCCACTGTACAGGAGGATTATATAAAAAAATAACCTACGTATAATGTCTATTTCTATACTTTATACACTCATTGTCACAAACTTCAAAATCTTTTTCACACTTTTGTTTGTCTTGTTAAAGAAATTGGAAAACCAGTAACATTTACAATAATCTTACTCAGAAAGAAGAATTATATACACACACAAGACGCTCTAATATCTCACAAACTGCAACGTATAAAGCCTTTAATATGTATAACGCTTTTTAGATTCACTAGAAAACGTGAACCCAGATTGGAACACTTGACGAGCCTTAACATTACCTACGTTTTACTTCATGATTTTGAGGGGAGAACTATGTATACAACGTGTAATAACAATCTTAATAGAAATATTTCATGGAAGTACAGTGGGCTTAATATATGTCTACTTTCCACGCTATTGTAGATAATATAAAAGCTCTCTCTCTTTATTTAGATTTCTATTTAGTTATAAATATCAACAAGAACTTTGAAATTGTAAAAAGAATTTTTTTTTCCGTTCCATTTCAATGGAACATAGCTTTTTTCTATATAAATTTTTATACAACTTTTTTTCAATGTGCTTTCGCACTATTTGATTGGTTATTACCAATCGTGTCACACCTTCGATAATAGAGTAAGTAAGGTACCCTAGGTGACGTGGGCCTCAATACGTTACTCTCTGGCACACTCTTCACCGTGCTGTCGTCATACCTGACCCAGGATCCATATCCCACGTGGAAGGCGTCGGTGAAGTAATGTCCCTTGGTGGCTTCCTTCCCGTCGTGATACGTCACCGCGAATAATTTGTACTGTTTTTGTTTGGGACCTAATTTCTTTGCGGTGTTCGGTGATAAAAATTCTGCAAGTAAAAATTTCCACGTTATACTTGTCTCATTAATTCATTGAGATTAGGGAGTAGGGTAAGATAGATTGAAACTTGAAACCATATTCAGTATGCTTATACTTACTGCCATCAATTTTCAAGTCGATGGGGAATTCCATGGTCTTCAATATTTTGGAGCAGCCATTGGAATATTTATCAAACTTGTACACGAACCATTTTAGGTGTAATATGAGGATGACAGGCAGTTCCTCTAAAGTGACTTGTTTCCAAGCCTCTATCTGTTGTCTCGTCTTACTGCAGGTCATTCCTTCTACTTGATCCTTACCGACGAGAATCTCAAGAGCGTGTTTTACAGATTCAGCTTTCTGTAACAGCATTATATTGTATTAAATATGTTATAAAATTTCATTATTGTAAATCAATTCATTCAAAAGTTTTAGTACTAACTTGAACATCAAGTTGCAGTGTGAAAAACGGCTGTACATTATCCGTTGGCTGTTCTCCTGCTCTTGACACCCTAGATCGTAACTGTCCGCGGAAGATATCGGATATCGGTGTTTTTCCGAATTCTGTACACCGTGTGACAGCGCCTTTATTTTTTGGTCCCATTACCTGTATTAAAATAGAATACAAATAATGTAATAAATAAACGTAAAGAAATGTAAACAAATGTAATGAATGAATTATAATGTAATTCTAATTTAAAAAATACAATGGAGTAAATAATGTTGCTCTCGATAAAGTTTGATTGAAGTATTACGATAAATAGATCTGAAGTATTTTGTACAATAAATATCGACAACCAACTTTTTAGATGTATTCTTTATTAAATATCTTACCTGCCACTCTTCTTCATCATGGTCATTGCTGATATTTTTCGTGTTACCGACTGCACTTTGATCGTTGCTGACCAATTTCATCAACTAAAACAAAATAATTATCATGAATTTTTCGAGTAATGAATATTAAGTTTTATATTTTTATAATGAATAGAATATATATATCCGTACTTCCAACATTTCGTCATTAATTCCATTTAAAAGACATGACAAGAATTCCTCTGCATCTTCCTGCCGTCCTTCCACAGAAAAGCCACCAGCAGCCGAGGTATGCTTTAACATTGTATATACATATGCTGGCTCAAATGCAATGCCGCTATATATGTCCATGACAGTATCGTCTCCTCGTTTGTTAACTCTATCTTTCCTGGGCATACGGGCAGCTTCCGTCAAGGGTGAAAATTCACGAACAAACTGGACCCTTTTAGTAAGATAAAATAATTTTACATATTAACGTAATTTTTATAAAATCTATAAAAAAAACATTATATCAGTATAAGTATTTTAATATCATAATTACTTACATGTTATCAATCAAGGGCGTAGCAGAATTTCTGCCTCGGTTTTTAGGAAGTGGCAAAGCCGTGAGAAGATTATAGAATGGTGGACAAGCTAATAAAGCTTGTAGGATACTATTGATATAACAATAATTGCTGCGATTTGTCAATCCCCTCGGTAATAAGCTTACTGTTTGCTTATCCATTTGATAACTTGACAAAAATTCTGGAAAAAAGTAATATTCATTAAAGAATTCGTATCAATATTTGTATATTTGGATCAATAATTTATTATTCTAAAAGACTGAATCGCCTTTTGTACTTACCACCTATCCTGTACGTATTAGGATCATCGTAACAATTCTGTAATATGCCATTCTGCAGAGTTGGTTCTGTAGGTGGTGCGTCAGATGAATCGTTTTGATTCTCTGGCGTGCGAACAGGACTAGTTGATTCCTTCTGGACCGGCGTTTTTGGTGATTCATTTTGTTCCTCTATATGTGCTATGGGTTTGCACGGCGTATGTGTCTCTGGCGTGGTATCTTTCCTAAAAAGACTAGCATAGGATCTGGCGACTGCAGTCACAGACGGCGTTTCAGATATAGATGACGGTGGAGTATTTGGTGTGGTTAAAGAGTCATTTGGCATGGCTGAGGGACCGTTTGGCGTTTTAGTAATAGTCTTATCTTGGGCGTCTTTTAACGCAATATTTTCCTCAACTTGTGCTTCATTTTTGTCTGTCTTGACAGAGATAGATTTAGGTGGAGTTTTTACAACATTCGTTGTGATACTGGATACAGTTTCATCTTTCAACTTCTTGTCCGTCTCATTATTTTGGTTCACCTTGACGTCATTGGTAGTATTTACATATGGCACATCAACTTTTTCCGTGCCATTACAATTCTCATTTACAGTCCATACAATATTCTGTTGAAGCTTTGCATCGACCTTTTCACTGCTAGTTGCATTTTTATTATTGGCAGTGTTTTCGTTTTTCACAGAGGGTTCTGATGTAGGAGTATTTACAATAACGGTGCTAACAACATTACTTTGCAAGGAGTTAGTCTCGTTTACTTGATGTGCTGATTTATCAGAAGTGCTTTGTATATTTTTGTCGTGTGATTTAACGATCGGTTGTTGCTTTGTAGGTTCTTGATTCGATTGTTGGGATGGCACAGATTGTGATTGTCGCACGCATCTGTTCATCTGCGGCGCTTGATGATTCGGTTGGGGATAAGTCGGCTGTGCATGCGTATTGGATGAGACTGATTGCGCACTTGGATGCGGATGAGGGATCGATGTGTACATTGGCTGGGTGTAATAGATCTGTCCGGTAGCTACTTGTTGCGTGGAGACGGAATGATCAGGATAAATGTACATGATCGGTATCTGCGGGTGATATTGCGCCTGATCCCCCATGTATCCCGACTGCACTTCGTTGGCGGGATTAAGTGTTCGATTATAATTATCTCTCCTTATACCTCTGCCTCGACTGTTGCGACGTCCATTTTCTCTACCGTAATTCATGTCTTGAATCTCGCCGAGATTGTATCCAGGATGGGCATACGCCATCCCAGACATAAACGGCATGTGGCCGTTTGCGGAAACATTATACATTGGTGCCTGCCAGTCATTACACATTTGCGTCATCATCTGTTGCGGATAAGTGGGCGCTGGCATGGCTAGAATGAGGCAATTTTAACATTTTAGGGAACTTTTGTTAAAATATAGTTACTTATGCATTATATTATCTAAACTATCGATTGGCCAGTCTATATTATACTTAGTCATTGTATTTAAGCTATATTTTAAATATATGTGATTATATATTATAAAAGATTATATAAAAATCTAGGACAAAATTTATCTAATAAAATGTATAGAAATAAACAGGATATTCACCATTGTACCAATGCTGTTGCTGAAGTTCGGGTACTTCTGTCGCGACAGAATTAACATTATTGTTGTTACCTTCTATATCTTTAGCGTCCCATGGTAATTTCAAGGCGTCAGATTTAAGAATGGTAAATATCTGACGCTTATCATTGTCAGTTAAATCATGTAAATCTAAAAACTGCAGATTCATCTAAAAAAGGAAAGATATATAAATATATATAATATAAAAATATTGGATTTACATGATAAATGTGTTATTAGAAATAGCTGGACTTAGAAACTCCTATATAACGCGTACTCGCGTATAATGCGATTTCCTACAATGCTTGCGACTATCCTCGCAATAAATTGTGACTTATATCAACTTGCAATGTTTTTTAAAAAATGTAATTTGCAATTCAGCGCAGTTATCGAAACAGTAATTTGATAAACATTTTAAATGTTCGATCTCTTATACTACGAAACATAGAAGGCCATATCTTTTCCTACGTTTTTACTGATAATAAAGAACTGTCCATTGAAGGACTCGACAGTATGGTTCACAATCTAGAATTACTGTTTTAAGTCAGATAAACATATTTCATTATATTGAAAATCTATTGAAATTTTAAACGTGTTTCTCTTGAAACTGAATTTTTCTGCAAATTTACCACGATTTCTCAAGAACGATGATTGATATCGGGATAATTATTTTTCTTTCAACTTTTGTAATCAAATTCTCTATAACTACTATTTTATAAATAAACTTCTTTTGTCTGTTTTATAGGTTCAATCGAGTAATAAGAGATTTAGCATTTATTAAGAAAAAAAGTGCTGTTTGTGCCACATCTCAAATTTCACAAGTCGCAAAACCGTAGCAAAAAAATCTTCTCTTTACCAGCTTATATTTCTTAATAAACAAATTTTGCAACATTCCGCGTCGCAATTTCATCCTAAATCCAGGAGAAACTATTATTAACTCGAGAACAGTCGCCTGGGGTGATTTTTAAAACCTTAGTATTGAAAAGATGACATCATATAATTTTAATGTGATTCTTTCGTTTTAAATATTTTTTGGTTTCTTTTTTTCTCTCTCAGAAAATATTAAGTAAATACATGTTCTGAAATACTAATAAATTAGAATGGAACAATGAAAAATATGCAATATGTAATTATTGTAATTAATAACAGTGACTTTTAATTGGAGTATAAAAATCACCCCGGGTGACCGTTTATCCAAAAAAATGAGGTAACCGTTCCCGAATTAAAAAGTCAATTTGTTAATATTTGTAGTAATTTGTGGCAAACGATTTTTTGCACCTATCTTTTCTCGCGTTCAAAGGTCTTGTCTCTTCTTAACCCTTAAATGCGGAATTTTTCGTAGCATTCTGAGTATGTACCGTCTTAAATAAATACGACCTGTTTGGGCCTTCCCATTCAGAAGAGAAAGAGGGGATAAAAGGGTCAGAGAAGGGGCCTTTTATAGACGTGCATTTTTTTCGGTTCGAATTTCATGAGAGAGTACACGGAGCATCGACAAGTTGCTTTGCATACAGCACTTTGCATATACTACGCACTTAAGAGGGTTAAGTTCAAAATTATCATCTTTCAATTTTTATTATATTTTTGTCTCGACAACTGTACAAACTGAACATTTATTTTTATCGCTCAATATCTTTCTTTGTTATACTTAAGAAATATGTCTCTATACCGTGACTAATAAAAATAAAATATATATATTGAGAGTTTTTAACATGGAATAAATAAATATAAACTTTTTCAGTCATCGAGCGGGATCTTATGTGTATCTAATAATATTTTTTTTCAAATTTTGCTTTTATAAGAGAATAAATAACTAAGGACTCTCGATAATAAACCTTAACAAGTAAAAGGTAGGCTTTGAGAGTCAACGCAGTTAACAAAGATAACGCATAAAAAAGTTAATGTTATTACAATCTTTAATAATCTTATTACTAATAAGGTATATAAATATAAATCGAACGTTTCGGCTCTCTGAGTCATCATTAAAGGATTATTGATCTAACTTATCGCATCCCTGATGATGATTCAAAGTGGAGTCCAAGCATTCAATTTACAATATATACCTTATTAGTAATTAAAGATTATTACAACGTTAACTTACACATTGTTAATTACTTTGACTCCCAAAGCCCATTCTTTATTTAACTTGTTAAGTTTGCTTTTATGCTTAGAGCCAGGCCACCGATTATATTTGTGCTTGAAACGTAATTTTAATTTTTCAAAGCTAGAAATATAATCTCATAATTAGTCAAGTTGATATACAATTTGATATTAAGATCGACGAGAATTAAAAATACACGAGATATAAACCTGCAAGAAATTTATTCATTGAAAAATATTCCAGTCAGGTTTCAAATCTGAACTTTCCTGCTCCGGGACGAGCAAAGTTATCAATTCACCGACGCTTACGCTGATATTTCTCGTAACAAACAATACTAAGAAAAATCTCATTTTTCAGTCGACGTTAAAAGCACGCTTCAATAAACAAATAACAAACGATGATAGTTTATTTACGAAGATTACACTGCTTACGCTCGGCAAATAACATAATTTTGTAATAATATAAAATTTCCCGCTAAATGTCTCTCAGAATAAATTGACTAAAAAAATAATCATTATTTTTTCCCAATATGCTAAAAGCACGTTCGATGAAGCGCGGCGCGTTACAAAGTGCAAGCAAGAGTGTAAAACCGTAGCGAATTGTTCCAAATGCACTATGCAGCCATTTTATGTAGCGACCTAGAAACGAGTTGTAAATCAGGTAATACTTGAAATAAAACGATTTTTCATTAATCTCGCGCTGTACAGTTGTGAGCGGCTGGCTGTCGCGGCGAGTCAAGGGGGAACTTACGGATTACTTCTAAACTGAACGTTCTCGAAAACAAATTTTACGAAGGCGTCGTTAAGCGGCGCACGTGGGAACGCTTAGAAACGAAATTTTTGGGAGTCCAGTTGTGCCCAGGCGCGAGACGAGTCTCCGCCCGTGGATTACTTCGCGAAACGACGTGGAGGATGCGTTAAAACGCGGAGATATTAACGGGAAACGCACGCCGAATTCAACCCGGGCGACGCGGCGACCTAACCTCAACGGCGCGCTCGGCCGCGCGAAAAGCGTGCACTTTCGCGTCTCGTCGCGCTTACGGGTTGGCAATGGGGTCTTACCTCGTTTCGAGTGTCCATCCTCACTTCCACAATTGGTACAAAACATTAAAAATAGCACGGATCGTGGGGCTTGGAGCTCCGGTTAGATCGGTATTCGGCGACGAGGCCGACGAGCACTGGTTCGTCGACGCCAGACGATATTCTTTGCCGTTTTCGTTATGGCGGCGCGGCACTATTTCGCGCGGTCGCCTAGCACAACAGGCTGTACGAAAATAATGAAACTGCTGTCGATCGCGCTTAGTCGCGGGCAATTAAAATAAAATAAAAAAAAACGATTCGGGCCGATTACGAGACGCGCGTGTTCATGCCCCGGCGGTCACATGCAGTGTGAAAACGAGCATGAACGTTTCGTATGGCGAGTATGGCGACTGCCGGAATGATGGTACGACTGCCGGTTGTTGGGACAGCGTCCTAAAATACCGCTCACACCGCTCGCATGACAACTCCGCATTTCGCATGACGAACGAATGAGGAATAACGATAACTCAACCAATTGGCATTCGGCTTATTTAAAGAAGTACTACGATTGGCTATCGCTCCGACCTACCCCTGCTGTTTCTGACGTCATGGGTCTTCAATTTCGAATTCAAAAGGTCGATAAGTGTCCATCTACGGCTGCGGTCCACTTGATGCTACAAATGCTTCGAAGGATTCCTCTTCTCCTTTCTTTTAATAAAGAAAGAAGGAGAGGAAGAACGGTTCAAAGCATTTGTAGCGTCAAGTGGACCGCAGCTTACAATAGATGTTTTAAGCCCTAAGCCTTAAGAAAGTGTTCAATCACAATTGAATTTGAAGAGAATAATTGACTGTGATTGGTCAATTTTTAGGGTTTAGGGCTTAAAACACCTATTGTAGATGGGCACTAATGCTAGGTCTACAATGCGAGTCGTAAAGTCGTGAGTCGTAAGAATTGACCAATCACAATCGAATTTGAGGAGAATAATAGACTGTGATTGGTCAATTCTTACGACTCACGACTTTACGACTCGCATTGTAGACCTAGCATAAGTGTTGGTCTACAACCTTGCTTTAAGGGGTATTTAAGCTCTAAGGACCAGTTTTACAAGTGTCGGTTAACTTTTAATCTTAGATTAACTCACTCTTCGTCTTTTTCTAAGGGGGACGTTAGAAGGAGGCGAAGAGTGAGTTAATCTAAGATTAAAAGTTAACCGACACTTGTGAAACTGGGTCTAAGCCGTAAGAAATTGACCAATCACAGTCGAGTATTCTCCTCACATTTCACTGTGATTGGTCAATTTCTTACGGGTTAGAGCTTAAATACCCTTTAAAGCAAGGTTGTAGACCAGAGTTTATATTTTGGAATTAAGCTCACATCCAATTTCAGATCTTTTTATGTTTTCTCGGTATATTATTTCACATGTTATATGCAGGTTGGCCTGGGTACTGCAGTAGTTAATCCATTGAAAAAAAAGAAAGAAAAAAAAGCTCGTAGACCAGCACTAATAGGTCTGTTTTCTATTGCTGAACTGGCTGCA